GAAGAACCTTTTGAAGCACCTTTATTTTTAAGAGTGTAATATGCTTTTTTGCAGCAATCTGTATTGTAATATTTTTTTGTGGAAATCATGATTAATTTTATTTCAACATTCGTTGATGAACAGAAAGTTCAAAAGAACAGCATTTATAATCATCAGCAACATTATACAAGTCTTTACTGTCACTTTTTTATCAACTTAATGCATCCTTGAATAAAAGTATCAAAAATCATACTGACACCACACTTTTAAATGGTACTGTATAGCACAGTCTCTTCTGTACAACTAGGATTACTCACAATGTTTGTATTGTCCGTTTGTAAACTCATTTTCCAGTAAAAAGCACCTTACACAACTTTAGATCCTTCAGATCGCGTGCTCAGTTTCCTTAAATATCAGTGCCCGAATGTGCAAATGCATTCACAACTGGATGTGGTCAATATTATCAGGAAAATGAGAAGTGCACTAAAGGGAAGTGTGCCAACGAGAAGGGAAAGTGATGATGGCAGAATAATGGCATCTCTTGAGAAATTTTTGTGTCGAATGCATGCTGAAAATGCCCACTGAATGACATTTACTGCTGTGCTGGGCAATTTGCCTCTTTAAATAAATCTTAGGTATTGCAAAAAGGGGGAAACTGATCATTTAAGCAGAAGGACGCTTTAAAAAAACATGCGGTATGCTTCAAAAACATCGAAAGACATTTGGTTTATCAATTTGAGTGATGTGTACTTGATTTAAACTCATAAATACTTCACTTAGAAACTAACAGGCTTTTATAAAAGTAAATATTGCGAAGAAAACTGCAGCCTCAAGTTCACCTAAATAAGAGACTCACCTATGACAAACTCAACCGCAAACTTGTCTTCGGCCGGTTTGTAGGGTCGATCGAAGGTGATCTTGATCTGAAACTCCAGAGTGCGCCGCACGATGAGGAAGTCGCTGGAGTACAGGTGCGTGTGGTGCCCTTGTTTATTGATCTCTTGAGGTTGTTTGAGAACATCGACATCCCAGATATCGAGAAACTCTGAGGGTCAGAAACATGACTGTCAACGCATCAGAGGCTCAGCTGTAAATTAGCCTTTTTTTACAATCAGTAATCAACAAAAACAGTGGCATGGCCCTCTCACACAGGATGCCTTTCAGCTCTTTATCTCTGGGGGTTTGAAGGGAACAGGATGACGAAAGTCAAGTTACAATTTCCTGCAATAAATGTTATCACTGGGACAAGAGTTATCTGGTGGAGACAGTAAGTATGGAGGAAATGGTCTTGAGAGATCAGGATGCTTGTTCCAGCTTCTTGACTAGATTAGACCAAGTTAGCAATAATTCAGTAAACAAAACCTCTCCTTTTACTGTTGCAAACCCCAAACACACGGGTCTCTCACAGGAATCGGTACTGTGTGTGTCTGTATGAAATACTATTAATTGATAAAATTAACAGGATGCTGAATTTACACACAGTGTTTGATCATTTCACCTTTGTTGTGCATGTAACACAAACAATAAATAAATGAAACAAGAATATTTTCATTTTAAATGTTTGTGTATATCAGACAGTTTTTTTTGTCCTGTTGTATTACATTTTAATGGTCTATATACCAAAGTGTGATTGAACTGAAATTAGAATAGCATGCTTTCAATGTATAAATGTAGTTACTTTTAATGCTTTAATGGTTTATTAATTAATTAATTCAGAGGAAATGCAGAACTTGTGTGATGTTGGGACATATTCGCTAATGACCAGTGTTACCACTTTTATTTAAGTTTTGCAAATTTGAGCTTTTCCTCTAATATTTATATTCTATTTCAGCTTTACTTCAATTACCAAAAACATCAGCATTAGTTTTAATAACAGCAGAGATAAGGATGTGATCATTATGACATTCATTCTCATACTTAAGTGAGTGACATTTTTTACATTAAAATTCATCTTTTTTTTTTTTAAGTTAAGCTTCTATTACAATATTCTCTTTTTTATGTTTACACTTATATATACACTTGTATAACTCAAATGTTCTTTGATTGGGATCAGTTTTAAACAGATAAAAGCTATAAATATTATGGTGTATTGCAATACAATTAAGGCATTCAACTCCAAAATATTCAACTTCAAAACATTTTGAATATTTTTTTTATTACATAATTACAATTTATAAATCACACAAAGGCACACCAATACTACCAAAATGTACTTTAAATAAATAAAAAATGTAGCACTTTAGGGTTAACTACACTCTCAGAAAAAAAGGTACAAAAGCTGTCACTGGGGTGGTACCTTTTCAAAAAGTGCACTTTTTAGTGCAAAAGGTACCGCCCCAGTGACAACTTTTGTACCTTTTTTTCTGAGAGCATATACATTTCTATTGACAATTTGCAAGGCTGTAAATGTTTAGTAATGGTGGCAAATAGTTTTTAAAAAATCATCTTCCAAATGAAATAAAAAGATAACATGTACACATTTTCTCTGTCTCACCCTTAAGCGGTGGCGGTCCCCTGGGCAGTAACATGAAGGGCTCGAACTCCTCCACTTTCCCCTCCTGTTGATTGGAGCTGACTTTGGCTCCTGCGGTGCGTCCGCGGTGGGACACGCGTTTGGGGCGCGCGGCGGCCGGTGGGGCAGCAGGGGTTGGGTTCTCTCGAGCCTCTTGATCAGCCATGGCAGGTACTGGTGCGGTGACCACTTAAACTGCTGCGCTTCAGACGCTAAACTCAGAAACAACACACAGACATCATGATGCACACATCACATATACAGCCTATCATGATAAAGAGTCTTGTTTTGTTTACACATTCCTGCATTTTTATAAATTGGCTGCTACACAGGAATCTGTTTTGCATTGAGGATGTAGCGTTGAAGACAAACTCAAAGCATGTGCTGAAGCCCAGTTTTATTGCAGGATGTTGCCTTTCTTCTGTTAATTTATCGCTGCTTGAAGAGTCCAATGTGGAAACGTAAGCTATTCTGTCCTTGTCATTCTTAGCATCTAAATCAGTTTTGTCTTCTTTATTTTCAAATCCATAAATTTGTGAAACTATTAAACTTGTTGGAATGACTAATTAAAAAAAATCTAATTAAAAAACCAGAATGATTGTGTGTGTGTGTGTGTGTGAACACAAACATGTGGGAATAACGTGAGTTTTTACACAGCACCTCTTTGGATATCTCAATACTCCAATCCAGGCAAAATGTCCTTCCAACAGCATTTCCTGGCATTTATATGTGGAAAACTTATTTTTATGATAGGCTACACAATGCCTGCTTTTACACTGGCAAAATGTGTCACCGCAGACACACAAACACCTGTGTGATGGATTACATAAGGGGCGTCTCCTTGAATGAGGTGTGAAGTTTGAGGAGATGTTTGGCCCACTGGAGCAGCGAGTAACTTCAGGAACACAGTGAGGTCTCTGTTCACATTTAAAGCACTTAAATACTCTGCTGATCTCACTTTTCCACACTTAACCACTGGCGAGGTGAACTAGATGGAAAAATATATGGCTGCCGATGATTTAAAAAAAAAATGTCTATTAAGATTTTGTTTTCTGCGGTTACCACATCTATATAAAACAGATGGTGGCACATATTAAAATAGTTAGGTTTGGAAACTACACAGAAAATTGGCTCTGCATGTAAACACTCACAGACTTAACAAACATGCATTTGCAAACACAAACACACAAATCTGCACTAAAAAACCAAAATATAAATACACCAATCACTTAAAATAACTGCAACATTCAAACACTTACACATTATCTTTATATACAATAACTTGTCCTTTGCAATTATCAGATCCCCCTTAACAAATTTAGCAAAATGTTAGTTGAAGGTAACTGGATAATTGCAAATATACAGTAACGTTTAAAAACATTTCTTCACAAGGAAATTAATACTTCTATTCAACAAGTGTGCATTAAATTGATCCAAAGACATTTGCAATGTTCCAAAAGATTTCCATTTCAAATAAAAATTCTAACAATTCTGAAAATAAAATGTATTACGGTTTCCACAAAAGTATGAAGCAGTACAACTGTTTTCAACATTGACAATTAAAGGAAATGTTTCTTGAGCAGCAAATCAGCATATTAGAATGATTTCTGAAGATCATGTGACACTGAAGACTGGAGTTCTGCTGAAAATACAGCTTTGCATGACAGGAATAAATTACATTTTGACATATCTCCAAATAGAAAACAGTTATTTTAAATTGCAAATAATATTTCACAATATTTCTGTATTTTTTATTAAATAAATGCTGCCTTGGTGAGCACTTAAACTTTTACACAATAGTTGAGAATTTCCATTTTCCAGTGTGAACTGTATACTATTAAACATGTTAAGGTGCACTAACCTGGTTTATTTTGAGATAGAAAGGTGGCACTGGTGTGCAGACACTGGAACCTGGAGTCTGGGAGAACGTTAGGACAGTTTCTGCCTTCATTTATATATAGGGCTGGAATAACCCTGTGTGTGTGAGAGCAGCATCACATATCATGGTGGGCGTGTCTATGTATGCAGATTAGCACTATAAAAGCAAAGGGTGTGTATGTGTGATATTAGAGTGGAAGCGCAAACTACCTCGTTTGTGTGGCTTGAGGGGAACAGAAATGTGGCCGAATAAAGACACAAGTGTGAAATGTGTCATGTCCTTCTCTATGCCCTGGGCAGAGCAGATTTAAAGGAATAGTTCACCCAAAAATTTAAATGTGCTGAAAATGTACTCACACTCAGACCATCAAAGATGTAAATGAGTTTGTTTCTTGTTTCATAACTTGCTCAGCAATGGATGCTCTGCCGTGAATGGGTGCCGTCAGAATGAGAGTCCAAACAGCTGATAAAAACATCACAATAATCCCCAAGTAATCCATACCACTCCAGTCCATCAGTTAACATCTTGTGAAGCCAGAAGCTGCATGTTTGTAAGAAACAAATCCATAATTTAGACAATTTAACTTTAAACCTTTGCTTCTGGCATAAATATGAGTCCATAATCCATAACACTTAACTGATTAATGGATTGTTTACTTTACTTTTTGTACAGCTCTTAAAACGTGATATGCATAAAGGCACTGATTAAAAACATGCTATGTGGGATGCAAACATCAAGGTTTCTTTGTTTTTACAAAGCTTGCATAGAGCAAAACAGTAACGTTCAAAATTGAATTATGACTGAAATCGCCTCTGGCCTGTGACGGACGGTTGTGGCTCCATTAAACCTGCTATCAAATCAGTCAAATTCACTCAAATCATCATTCACTCGAATAACACTTGAGCTACTTTTTCCCCAATTCCAGTGCTGACAGATGTTCTACATGTTGCATTTGTAAGGCAGAATATGTAGATATAGAGGTTATTACATTGCAAATGTCCCACTATTTAAACATTAAAACTGTCCCACTATTGCTTTCCAATAAACATCCTTACAACAAGAGGAAAAAGATGTTGCATAAGATATTAATTTATCTTAAATGCATTTGGTCTTGTTCCACTCTTAAATTACTATTTATTGCATGGCATTATAGATCTTCTGGCCAGTTTGCGTCATTGCTTCAGGCGTTCTATATGGAAATAACTTGTTTTGCTAAAGTTTCTGAGGGGAAACATGATGTTCAGACCCCTTCGGATGCTTTGGGAGAGTATGAGTCACAGGCATGAGCTCACCTTTAGATTGAGCAGAAGCACTGGAGAACAGACAACTTTCTTTCACCATGAACTTTAACGCAGAAGATGTAATGCCTTGGTACAATATGAGAGCTTGTCAAAGCAGATTAACAAGCAAGTCAAATATAGTTGCATAATACAGGTTGGACACAGTCTACAGCTTATAAATGGGTTTTTCATGAAAATGTTTGGTGAGACTAGCAGGTAATACGTGTGTGTGTGTGTGTGAGATATATATAAATTAGGTCACATATGATCTAATTCACACACACACACACACATTGGCCTACAAGTGCATCTAAAAAAAATTAGATTATTCTGAAAAAGTTTTTTTTTGTAACATTTCAAAAAGTGAAACTTTCATATATTCTAGATCTTACTTGGGCTCCAAAGTCCTCTTTTCAGATAAAAGTAAATGTTGCATTTCATTTGGAAATCAAGGCCTGGAGTCTGGAGGAAGACTGGAGAGGCACAGAATCCAAGCTGCTTGAAGTGCAGTGTGAAGTTTCCGAAGTCAGTGATGATTGGGTTTGATCAAGTCCAAAGTCAATGCAGCCGTCTACCAGGAGATTTTGGAGAACTTTATGCTTCCATCTGCTGACAAGCTTTATGGAGATGCTGATTTCCTTTTCCAGCAGGACTTTAGCACCTGCCCACAGTGCCAAAACCACTTCCAAGTGGTTTGCTGACCATGATATTACTGTGCTTGACTGGCCAGCCAACATGACCTGAAATCCATATGGAATCTGGGATATTTTCAAGAGAAAGATGAGAAACAGTCGATCCAACAATATAGACAAGCGGAAGTCTCAATAGTGCCTCAGCAGAGCCACAGGCTGATCGCTCCCATGCCACACCTCACTGATGCTGGAGTTTGTACTAAAGGAGCCCCGGCCAAGTATTGAGTGCATAAATGAACATACTTTAAAGAACTTGAACTTTTCTGTTTTGCAAATCCTTTTTTTTGATTGATCTTAGGAAATATTCTTAATATTTTGAGATACTGGATTTTTGACTTTCATGAGCTGTAAGCTTAAAATGTTTTACTTTACATGTAATGAAAGTAGAATATATGAAAGTTTCACTTTTTGAAATAAGTTACAAAAATATTGAATTCCACGATATTCTATTTTTTTTAATGCACCTATCTATCTATCTATCTATCTATCTATCTATCTATCTATCTATTTGGAGAACTTTATGCTTCCATCTGCTGACAAGCTTTATGGAGATGCTGATTTCCTTTTCCAGCAGGACTTTAGCACCTGCCCACAGTGCCAAAACCACTTCCAAGTGGTTTGCTGACCATGATATTACTGTGCTTGACTGGCCAGCCAACATGACCTGAAATCCATATGGAATCTGGGATATTTTCAAGAGAAAGATGAGAAACAGTCGATCCAACAATATAGACAAGCGGAAGTCTCAATAGTGCCTCAGCAGAGCCACAGGCTGATCGCTCCCATGCCACACCTCACTGATGCTGGAGTTTGTACTAAAGGAGCCCCGGCCAAGCATTGGGTGCATAAATGAACATACTTTAAAGAACTTGAACTTTTCTGTTTTGCAAATCCTTTTTTTTGATTGATCTTAGGAAATATTCTTAATATTTTGAGATACTGGATTTTTGACTTTCATGAGCTGTAAGCTTAAAATGTTTTACTTTACATGTAATGAAAGTAGAATATATGAAAGTTTCACTTTTTGAAATAAGTTACAAAAATATTGAATTCCACGATATTCTATTTTTTTTAATGCACCTATCTATCTATCTATCTATCTATCTATCTATCTATCTATCTATCTATCTATCTATCTATCTATCTATCTATCTATATATATATATAAACGTGTGTGTTTATTTATCTGATTAAGAAACTCCCCCGATGCATTTGACAGACATAAACCTTCCTGAGCATCAATTAATACTTTAAAACAAAGCATCATGACATTTGAAGTTAATGCACATATGACATGAGCAACACTGACCACAAGGCTCCTCTTTGATTTCCGCCATACCCATGCAAGCAGTAGATGGTGCTTCCTGTGCGAACCACAGGTTAGTCACGTGATCAAGCTTCCACGTTCAGCACTTTGTTCCGCTCTACTGTTGTTCCATGCATCGGTAGGAAGTCAGTCGCTTACGTTTAAAAGTTATTGAGGTGTAAAACAATGTTGATGTCAAAAATATAGCTCAAAAAGAAGAACCAAGGAAGACAAAGACAGACAGACAAAGATGGAAATGCAGAGAGAGGATCCCTCATTCTTGGGTGAGATAAGTATGATCATGATTGAAGTAGATGTTTACATATATGGACATGCACACAAATGTGGAAACATGTCTGAATGTCATTGCATTAGACAAAATATCAAAGAAAGTGCTTGTATCTGCATATCTAAAATGCTGTAGGAACTGTTTCTTCACTAACAATAAACCAACACAAAATATCACAATACTGTCCTCATTTTCAACACAACTCTTGTTACAGCATTTCATACCAGACAAATGGCTTTTGTCAAATGTTTTGCTTTTAATGTGTGTTTGTGCTATCATTCTTGAAATTAACGACACTCGCTTTGAAATTTTGTTATGCAAAGCAATACAATTCAGATATTTTTCAGTATAGCTTAGGTCTGTACATACCTTTTGGGGCCAATTTGGAGTAATTCAAGCCTTGTCTCACTAAAAAGACAGTGACATGACATATTGGGATACAAATGTCCACATTTTATTAATATTTACTATATATATATTAGTACAGTTTGAGGTTGATAAAATGTTTTTAAATGAGACTTTTATGCTCACCAGGGCTGCATTTATTAGATAAAAAATACAGTAAACACAATAATATTGTGAAATATTATTACAATTTAAAATAACTGCTTTCTATTTGAATATATTTTAAAATGTAATTTATTTCAGTGATGCAAAGTTGAATTTTCAACATCAATACTCCAGTCTTCAGTGTCACATGATCCTTCAAAAATAATTCTAATTTGCTGATTTTCTGCTTAACCCTTGTAAGGTGTTCATATTTTTGTTACTCAGCCAGTGTTCGTGGGTCTGGTGGACCCACTACATTTTTGGGTTTTTAATTCAACACAATCAAAAATTGTATGTTAAAATACTCAACAGATGTTTACTTCATCCCAATTACAAGCAACATAAACAGCATATATCTTTTCTGTTTTGCAAATCCTTTTTTTTGATTGATCTTAGGAAATATTCTTAATATTTTGAGATACTGGATTTTTGACTTTCATGAGCTGTAAGCTTAAAATGTTTTACTTTACATGTAATGAAAGTAGAATATATGAAAGTTTCACTTTTTGAAATAAGTTACAAAAATATTGAATTCCACGATATTCTATTTTTTTTAATGCACCTATCTATCTATCTATCTATCTATCTATCTATCTATCTATCTATCTATCTATCTATCTATCTATCTATCTATCTATATATATATATAAACGTGTGTGTTTATTTATCTGATTAAGAAACTCCCCCGATGCATTTGACAGACATAAACCTTCCTGAGCATCAATTAATACTTTAAAACAAAGCATCATGACATTTGAAGTTAATGCACATATGACATGAGCAACACTGACCACAAGGCTCCTCTTTGATTTCCGCCATACCCATGCAAGCAGTAGATGGTGCTTCCTGTGCGAACCACAGGTTAGTCACGTGATCAAGCTTCCACGTTCAGCACTTTGTTCCGCTCTACTGTTGTTCCATGCATCGGTAGGAAGTCAGTCGCTTACGTTTAAAAGTTATTGAGGTGTAAAACAATGTT